TTTCTACACTTAGAATAATTAGGTAGAATAGCTTCTAATAGCGCAGCTAGCTATTAACACTATAAACTTAGCTATAACAAAGAAAACACTATATAAAGCTAACTTTAGCTATAACTTATACTCTATGCTATAAAAAAGCTAACTTATAAACTTTTAAAAGTTAATAAACTAGCTATTAAACTTATAAAACATATATAAAAAATTAGCAACTAAAGCTAAATTTAGCTAAGAAATAATAAAAAAATATGTAAATAAATTATAACAACTAAGGCTAAGAATCTACTTAGAAGATTACACTTATCTTAATATAAAGAACTTTAAGCTATCTAGACCCTTTAGGAAGCTAGTAGAAAAAAGAATAAAACCTTATAAAGTCTTACAGACTTAAGAAGATAATTATAAACTTAAGCTTCTTCTGCATATAAAAATACACCTATAGTTTTATGTTTCTAGACTAAAGAAAGCATCTAAAGAAGTTCCTCTATCTATATAAAGATAGAAAAATAAAAAAACAGAATATAAAGTTAAACATATTATTAGTAATTAAAAAAACTAAAAAGAATTTTTAGTAAAATAAAAAGAGTAGCTTACTAGTAAAAATATATAAAAACTAGCTAAGAATTTGCAAAACACGCAGCTATTAGTATAAAGGTACCTTTAGGCTTGTCTAAAAAAAACTAGCTAGGTAATAAAGCACTTATATTAAAAAAAATAGCTATGTTATTACTAGATAGTAGCAGCCTTTAGAGACAAGTCCTAGCTAATAAGAGCTGTAGAAGAGAATAACTTTTTACTTTAGCCTCTAAAGCTTCTATTTTATCTAAGAAAAAAAGGTCTCTTTTTAAATACTTTGTGCGCTAAGCCTCTAGTAGTTTTAGTAATTTCTAAATATAATTCTGTTTAGAACGCTTCTTAGCTATTGCCTTTAAGGTCTTCTAAACCTAACATAACATCTCTTCTTTAAGCTTCTACTTATAAACTCTTGCAGCAGCAGCTTTCTAAAGAAGCGCCTTTTTTTTCTAACTAGTCCTACACAGCATTAGAAATAAAAGTGTTATACTTACTATACTTTTTTACACACTTAACGCATTTATCTAAGAATAAAGTTAATATATAAGATAACTCTAAGAATTAGTAAGCGCTATAGGGCCTTATCTTTGTCTAATAAAAAGAATTAAAATAGTAAGATAAATAAGACTAACAAGCTATTTAGCTTAAAAAAATAGATATTAAAGATGCTTTCTAGTAAGTAAGCGCCTACCTTATAAACAAACTCTTACTAACATAGTTATATAAGTAGAGCAGTAAGGACGCTGCTAGGGAGAAGAGGCAGCGTGTTATAGTCTATAGTTAGACTAGTGTAACTCTACTAGCAGTGCTCTACAATCTAGCTAGATTAGGGCAGGGCTTGCTTATAAACTAATTAGAAGACACAGAGGCAGCACAGCTGCCTGCAGTAATAGAAGAGTGTGTTGTCTAATAGGAAGGACAGGCTATAAGTTTAGAGAGCTTAAGGGAGCCTATAGAGCTTGCCTTAGCAGACTCCTATAAACTCTTTAAGCTCCCCTTAGCACCTTTAGTATATGTATATAATTCCCCTATTAAATAACCTTAAGGAGGTATGTTTAACATTTAGTTTATTTTTTATATAGACTAAGTAGCATTTAGCTTTTTAAAAAGCTGTAATACTATTTATATATCTTACACTATATATACCTCTAATTCTGTCTAATAGGACTGTTTAACCTAGCCTCTCTACTGCTGCATTAAGGGCAAACTACAATCTAGTCACTCTCCTCCCCTCTAGTAGCCTATTAGCCTGTACGTAGGACTGTACACCCTACCGGTTGGCCCCTTACCACCCGTCCTACTCGTCCCCTAGGAACACTATAAGACCCGAGTGCTTCCACGAAGCAAGGATTGTAACAGGAGGGTGTGTTAAGGTTGTTTTACTATGTTTCACCTTGTTCTACAGTTTAAGCTAGGGGGTGTGTCGCGTACAGCTATCCGTCTATATATATCCTTCTGCTGTGCTAGCTGGGAGGTTAACCTTTTGGCAAACGCAACAGTTATAAGCCTAGTTTGCAGCGTAGTGTAGATAGTTAGCGCTTAAAAATTTGCGCACCCCTGCTCCACTAATAGGATTGCATTATCCCAGAGCACTGCGTGTTTGATTCCTACGCTCAGCAAAGAGCATTTAGGCAGTGCGTCTATTACAGAGGCTACCTTACTAGATCTGTCTCTAAGTTCTGTTGCTTAGGCTAGGGAGAATGTGTTAAGGTTGTTTTACTATGTTTTACCTCTCTTGTTCCACAGTTTAAGCTAGGGGGTGTGTCGCGTACAGCTATCCGTCTATATATATCCTTCTGCTGTGCTAGCTAGGAGGTTGACCTTTTAGCAAACGCAACAGCTAGTTATGTTACCTTATTTTAAAGTGTTAGAATAGATACTAGCTATAGAAAGTAATAGAACACTATAACCTATGCTAAAGCTAACTATTAAGCGCTTAGTACTAGGCAGCTATAGGTGTTATACACTAGAAAAAGTATTAGATTTACTTACACTTTAATTAAGTATTTTAAGTATACCTATACTACTTTATTAACAGTTATTAGTTGCACTAGCAGTAGTACTAGAATTAGATAGCAGATTAACATTATGCTTATAAATAGTATTAGCGTAGGTATTAGACACTAGGTTTACATTAATATTATCTAAAGTAGCTAACAACTTTTTTTAGTTACATAAACAGTAAGAAGCTAATTATTAATATAGTTATTAAAATGTAAAGTATTTAGTGCTTCTTAGTTAATTTTAATGTTATAATAGCTAGAATAGTTAAATTTAAAAAATAAAAGCTACTATAATATAATAGTTGTTACAATCCTTGCTCTGTCGAAATGGTATTTTGAGAGCACTACAGCCTATGGTGTTATTATGGAGAGAAGGGGAAGAACTTAGCTGGATCGGGTGTACAGTCCGTCGAGCAGAGTATGGATGAGGCGGAGGTTAAGAAGGCAGGTTGTGGTTTGGCCCAGCGGCTGTATAGGGAGCTGGCAAACCTGATCTAAAAGGATAGGAAAGGAAGTATATATAGTGCAAGATATATAAGGCAGCAATGTCCTCTTTGTAAAGGTTTTAATGCCTCTTAGTCTATTAAGTAGGTAAAGACTAAATAGTAATTACAACCTTCTAACTATAGTTGTGATTAAGACTATATACATGGGGTTTGCATGCTGTGCATGCTATGCATGCTTGCATGTCCATTGCCTGCACAGCCTGCATAACCTGCAAACCTGCAAGGCCTGTGGTCCTATTAGATGACGCACTCCGCTAGGCTTTTATCTAAAAGCCGGAGCCATTCCTCATCCGTCCTGTTACGTGTTCCGTCTAACGCGGGGTTAAGCGTTCTCTATCTGGCGTCGCTTAGGCTGTAGGGAACGGCTGATAGGGAAATTACAGTCGGTTCGTTGGCTGTAACAATAGTTTACTTTACTTTAGAGTTTTTTCTAAATTAGTAATTAATAGCACTAACATTTTTACCTTTAAATGCTAAAAGCTTTAAAATAATAACATTAAAACTATATAAAAATAGTAGTAAGTAAAAGAAAACCTTTATAGTATTTATAGTAAAATAGTAAACATACCTCTAATACTTATACTATTAACTCTAGTGTTGCCTTAGCTTTATTATAATCTACACTTTAGCTAGAAGTTGTTTCTTAGTTATTAGCAGAGCTTGCTCTGCTTATTATATTCGGGTTTGCAGAACAAAAAGTTGAGCAGAATCTCCTCTTTT